TGTCGGGAAGGTTGAAGTAGCCACGGGCCGTGCTGCCAGACATGACCCACACCTCGCCGCGACGGCCCTCTGGCAGCTCCTTCAGAGTCTCGGGATCAACAATTCGAACTGAAGGAAGCAGTCGGTGATCGACCGGCGTTGGTCATGGTGCGGTGTGTGTGTGTACCGTCTATCCCAGGGAAGGGCACGCCACATCCGACGAGCCTCTGGTAGCCGCCTGCGTCCATGTCAGCTTCATCCACCAACTCCACCACACCCTGGCCACACACACAGTCGGATGGTTGTCTCGTGTGTAGCCAGCCCATTCGTTCATCATGTACTTGGCTCCTCAATTTTTTGGCGTCGACGTTGATGATGAGCGGCTCGCTATCGATGCCTTTGCGGCCTGTCACGAACAGGGTGTTCTCAGCCAACCCATACGCGGGAACGAACATGCTTCGACGCACTCCTTTGCTCTCAAATTTCTGTTCAATAAGTCACATAGAGTGCGCACAGACAGCCAGGGTGCTCATGAATCCTACGTTCTGTCGACAGCTAGTTTGCTTGCCGCACGCACGTACCTTGATGAAGTTGTCCACGGTGGCTACTCTGATTGGTTCTGCCCCGCACAGGAACCCCATGACGTGGCTGAGGTCCAGCTCGTGAAACACGCTGTCGGGCATCTTGCGCGTCACGAGCTCAAAGGCGAAGTTGGGCGCACCACTCACACACGCCTTGTAGCGACTCATGCCTGCGTGAATGCGAACGGCACACAGACCAAAAGCCATGCATTCAGGTTAATCACCACGAGACTCGTGCAGACAGGCACCCCACCTTGCAGCCAGAGGTAGGGCTTCCTGACGAAGTCGAGCGGTGAGATCTGGAAGAGCTCACATCCAAAAAAGATGGGCGAGCAGAGGAAGCCGATGAGCCCCATGTCGTGGTAGACGGGAACCCAGGAGAAGAGCCGCAGCCGGTGGCCCCGCACCCGCTCGCTGATCTCGTGACGCTGCATCAGGATCTCGCGCGTTCTGGTGTACGTGATGTTGGGAATGGTCGGGTCGTCGATGTTGCTGTCACAGCCGGGGGCTGAGGCGCAGCAATGGACGTTGTGCAGCAGCGACCCGTGCGTGACCATCACCCCCTTGGGCGCCGCCGTCGACCCCGATGTGAACTGCAAAAAGGCAATGTCACTCAAGCCGATGGACGGGGGGGTGAAGGACGCCTCGGGCTTGTCGTCTGCGGCCGTCCGCTTGAATGCGTCGCTGGTGAGGATCCACTCGATGGATCTCCACCTGTTGTCCTTGG